TTTTTAATAAAGATTATATTGAAAAAGGAAAACTTTAACTATTTTTAAAAAATAATAAAAAAATAGCCCGACTCTGATCCGACAAATATAAATAAGAAATTTCGTAGGAATAGTGAATGAAATAGGTGGCGGGGATGGATACGAGGAAGACTTCCCCATCCTTACTCTCACTCTACTCTATAAGCATCTCTATTTAGGAGAGTGATGATACTAAATTTATTCTCTTATCAGCATCAACAACGGGCCCAAAGCATAAACGTCGATCCAAGTTCAGTTTAGACTCGATTTAAATTCGATTCAAAATCAAAGTTTGAGTAACTTAGTTTGACCGATCCAAGTATTCAATTAAATTTGATATGGATCAATATTTTAAAATGAATTGACGGACCATATTTAGATCTTCCCATTGGAATGTCTCATTGGACTTATCGTCACACCAACTCAAATATGTGAACGGTTAGATTTACAATAATTTCAACGAGTCATTGATGATCTTGCGAAATGAATGAAGACTCGAGATTCGATTATTACATTATCCCTAAGATTTTCCGGACATTATTTTGTTAGATATTTCCCAATATCTTATAAGGATGGATGAGTGAGTGAGAGATAAATGGTTGATTTTGTTGTGAGAAGATAAGAATGAGGGTGAGTTGAAAAGGCAGGTGGCGTAACTCTGGCACAGTGTGTTAATATGGTCCATATCATGTGGCAGCATTTCATGGCACCACCACCTATCATCACCTAACCAAACAAACTCACTCTGCCGCCCCTCGCAGCCTTTATGGAACATGCCTCTCCTCTCTCTCAACTCCCACCTCACCCACCACGCTTCCCAAAACACTATATTTTTACCATTACTTTACTTTACTTCATGATTCTCACCTTATCTATAAACATTGATCCAATAACTTCTATATTAATCCATATTTTCATTTGGGTCTCGCTCGTTCGACTAGAGCTCACCCATGCAATACCATGACAACATCAATATCTTAAGATACATGTTTGTACTAATCATGACAGAGAAATATCTCGATCCACATGACATGTATAAATATATGAGGTTCTTATAGTTTAAGAGGTAAGTCAAACTTTTGTGATATAATGAACCCACTAGATGCATACGTAATATTCTATTAAATTAAAATGTTTTTTTTAAAAATCATCTCTCTTAATATATCAGAAGTGTTCAACCATTTGGACTATGCAACCAAACCCATAAGAATTGGATTGCGTTACCCTTTCAACAATCTTGGGCAATTCATAGCTATGTAGCCCTCTTGGTTGCACTTAGAAGCATGATCTCTAGTCTAGGCAATACACCATCCACAATCCTTCCTATGGCACTTGCTGCAAAGGGGCCTCTTGTTTCCTAAGCGTCTTTCGACCTGGTTGCTATCCATGTCTAAGTTTCTATGGTGTCTGTTCGTCTGTTGTTGTGGGCGCACTAGCGGTTGACGATGTGGGTCGATTTGGCCATATCGCCGCTTCTATCTCACTATGGCTGTCAGTATTAGCGATCCTCAAAGTTCTCCTACTTTATTCCCATCCATAGCCTTAGCTTCTCTTGAGTGGCAACATAGGTGATAGGGGTTATGACCTCAATCGTACCACAAATCCTCTCATCTAGGCTTGGATGAATCTCTGTGCCAACTTTATTTCTATATTAACTAATTTCGGGACAAACTGCTTCGGTCTCGTGAACTCCATAGGTAGTGACAAAGGGTCTATTTTATATTAGCTGGGTGAAGTCTTGTTGTTTTTGGAGTCAGGCAGCCGGTAGTACTCTATCCAGAATGTCTCTCTGAATTCTTGCCATGTGACCACTCCTCCATTAGGGCTAAGGATCATCCTAGTGATTCCCATCATAACTCTACATCATATACCGCATGAATGATGCACACGACACTTTTTACTCATCTGTATAGTTCAACAATTAAAAAATTGTCTCAATCAACTCGAACCACATTTATGCCTCCGTTCTATCCTCTAAAGTCCTGTTAAAAATTTCATTGGTATCACTTTAATTTCCATCCAACACGTGTCACTTTAATCATATATGGCATTAAGCAGCATGAAATCAGCCACCACCATGCCTTTGTGTTTCTGACGGATCTCACATGACAGTCTGAAGCTTTAACGATGAGTGACGTCAGGCCACTGCGGTCCCATCGCTGCTTTAACAATGCTTCTCAAGATGAATTTAAACCAAACTCATTCAATATCTCCACAAAAATAATCCAACCCTTATTGGAAAGACGTAGCTGGAGCAGCTCAACCCCATCGTTGTCATTAGATGGCGATCACGAACATTGTTTTGTCTACTTTCATCGGTTGAGTATTATCGATAGCCTCAAGATTTTAAAATGCATCTATGAAGAAGAGAATTTAGTTAAGAATGTTTGATTAATCTACCCACCTAATTGGTGTGAAAAATTATCTTATTTATAATCAAATAAATTAAAAGATATTTAAATAATAATACATAGAAATAACAATAAATGGAAAGATAACTCGGATAATAAGGCAAATATTAGATATTTACCTTATAATAAAATATTAAATATAATATATATGGTAAACTATTATTTATTACTAAATATTCTTAACACCTCACCGCAAGCTAAGTGTCGGATTTAAATGAACGTGAAGCTTGAATCTGAAAAATTCAAAGAGGTTGAGAAACACTTTTCGTGAAGATATCAACGACCTGGTTTAGAGGAGGTGTAGAGAAACACTTTCTTGGCCATCGAAAATTGCTGAGGGATTGCCGCTCAGCGGCGATTCTACCTTGGCTTCGGTGAGAATATGTATAACCCATGAAGAGGGATTGTCGCTTAGCGACGATGCTGCCTTGGCTCTGGTGAGAATATGTCTAACCCCAAGAAGTAGAAGGGGAAACCTAGAGCAAGGGACAAAGACAATGTTGAAACCGGAAGAGTCGCCACATTGGGCGAATTGGCGAGAAATGCAGTCGTAAGAGTCGTCACATTGGGAGAAGGAGCCAATTTTATCAGGAAGGGCGACAACAACTTGGTTGGCGAAGAGGCCAGTGCAGCACCTAGATTCTGAAGGTAAATCTCTGCAAAATGTTGATGGGCTTGTCTAGATTCCATATATTTCGGAAGAGAACACTGATGAGGATCCTGAGATTAGGGTTTCTGTGAAGGATGAAGGGTTGATTGGGAAGAAAATGAGAGAGACTATATTGGCTAAGGGGAAAACCGATTTGGTTGGAAAAGGTGAGGTTGTATGTACAGAATATGACGAAAGGTGATTTGGAGGTCAATAGGGTGGAGTCGAAGAGTAATCAATCCGCTCCGCCTACGGCAACCATGAAGACTGCTCCTGCGGCATCAAAGCCAGCAGGGGTGGTGGAGAAGAAGATTAAAGGATTCAAAAGCCATTGAAAAGAAAGAATCGGGGTTGTTAAACCGAGAGGGCTCTGATACCATAAGAATGTTTGATTAATCCACCACATCTAAATAGTGTGAAAGTTATCTTATTTATAATCAAATAAATTACAAGGATATGAAAATAATAATAAATGAAAATAACAATAATAAATGGAGAGATAACTCTGGTAATAAGGCAAATATTAGATATTTGTCTTATAATAAAATATCAAATATAATATATATGGTAAACTATAATTCATTACTAAATATTCTTAACATTAGCCCTACTTCGAACATTGCCTTACATCGTTTGTGACATAGTCCAAGCTCATCGCTAGTAGATATTGTCCATTTTGACCTATTACGTATCGGCGTCAGGTTCACGATTTTAAAACGTGTATATTAGAGAGAAGTTTCTATACATTTATAAAGAGTGTTTCATTTTTCTCTCCAATCAACTTGAGATCTTACCCATTAAAATTACTTTGGCTTAAAATGATCCCATTAAAAATTTATTTTAATAGTATGAAAAATGACATTTGAAAATGTAAAATTAAATATTAAATTGATTTTGAAGGACTAAATATATATTTAAGAGTGATTTTGAATATAATAAAATTGATTTTAACAATTTTAATAGTACTGATGAACATATCAGAATATAGCCATTCACAATCATGAAATTCTTATGTTATAAAATGGGGTACGTGAGTAAATGTGGATACATGAATGAATCAAAATCACGTCTAAATAGGAGTGATCTTGAGTAAAAAGAACGGAAAGTTACTGTTGGTATAAATTAGATGCATATCTCTTTTTGTGGTTCAATCTTAATGTAACCATGTCGCTAAGATATTGAAGCTATCAGGTACCGAATCCAAATTTCGTATTCTAGGCATGAGATAGTTAAGTCTCGACATTTTTATAGAACATTCAACTTTTCGTTCCTAAATTTCAAAATATTTATTTTATATCTTTAAAGCGGTTAAATATTTATTTGTCTTCGATACTAACTCGTCCGTTATTATATATACTAAATATATATTACCTATTTATGAAAGAAAAATAATTAATGTTAAACTAAAAAGAATATTCATCCCCTCACATAAATATTAAATTAATGAAATTAAGAAAAGTTAGGAAAAGCTTCCCAATAATTCTATTTTAGAAAAGAATTATAATAATGGACGTTTTGTTAGGAATGACAGATAAGGAAACCAAAATCGAATAATAAAATAATATTCACACAGAGAAAAGAATAATATATAACTCGAGATGTGACAAAGACCATATCAATACCATGTGAAATACATCACTACCACAATAAATAAATGTATATAAATATACTTATCTTCAACATCACTTATATTATATTGTCGGTATGAAATAATAAAAAATTTATATCGTTGAATGCCTAAACTGTTACCACCGTTTCAAATGTTAACTTGAGTATAACTCAATTAAAATTAATCACACTCAATTAAAGCCATAAATATACGAATATTTTAGATTTAAATTAAAGGTAGATCCTTTTCTAATTTAAGTTCTAATCAAAATGAAAAAATAAACGTACGAAATCGATAAAATAGCTATTACCTTTGTTAAAATCAAGGACTGGAATGAAGATGACGTTTATCAGATTCTTAATAATCCTCAATGATCCTCCTCACTCTCTCAAAACATCCATAAGCAATCAAACTCAATGGACAAAAAGAAAAAGAAAAAAATATATAGAAACCCAGAAACCCTTTTGTCACCTATAACTCATTCAATCTATAAGATCAATAATACAATTCCAAACGACGACCACACATAACACAGTAATATTTCCTCTTGATTTTGAAACAGAGTGGAGCTAAACAGAGCCTCCATTTCCTCTCCACGTCCACTGCCTCAACTTTGCCGCCGCACAACGGGCACCTCCCCATGGCCTGCCGACGACCCAGCTCTTTGTCCTCCTTGCAGAACAACATTTCCCGGCCGGCGAGATAAAATTAAAATATTTCAGTGCCGACTTGCTCAGGTGGAATAATATATTTATAGAGAAGGATGGCACCTTGTTTCTACGGCTGGGATGGGACCCTCATGATCCCATCTAGATAAGGATTGAGGTTGCTACATCCTCGCCGTTCATACTTTCGTGAGGATCTTACTAGATCGTTCCAGTGGGAGATATGCATATATATATATAGACAAATAGGGGAGCCGTCTCATATAATTGGAAAAAGGCCTCATTTTATTCCCCATATATAATGTTCATAATATTGTTTATTTAAATGTACAATATAACTGCTATTATTTTTTTTTTATTTCTTTTAAATGATAATTGCACTATTTGGAAAACCCATTTAAAATAAATAATTTATTAATAGCGATTACAATTTAATCTATACTAATGATGCAAACGGGAAGTCAACATATACTAACCTATACTATGAATGCAAATGAAATTTAACTAACCTATACTACGAATGGAAAACAACTATCCTATGCATGTGCCACGCTCCCGGGATGTGCGATGCTGTCGTCGGTCTCACATAGGTGCCTTGTCTTTATCTGAAATGTGATAGCACGAGGCTTGAGTATTTCTAGAATACTTAGTAAGTGACCCCCTATTGGGGTTATGCAACAATCACATGCAAATGAGATGATGAGACCTATCTTTCAATCTATCTTCCTTCGGTGCTGTCCTAATGGGTAATTTGGACTTGTACCATATACTATACACACAACCCATACATGCGAGTATGGGCTCACCAGTTAGTTTGCACATCGCTGAACCACTTTCGTTGTCGAGTGAGCATACTCTAGGACCTCCTTAGGTCGGACACCCGTTAGAACTAGTAACCGTCATGACAACGCTATGCAAAACATAACGAACGTACACCTGCCATTGGGTGTACGCGTCTGTACCCTCATGATGGAATAGGGGTATCCCCCAATGCATGAGCACACATAATGCATGAGGTCCCCAATATTTATACTTTTATTATTAATGAATATAACCCCGCTATCATCTTTCATGCTTAACATGTCATTCCTCATTTTTCAGTCTACATATCATACATAAATCCTAACGGGGTTACCTTTCACGCAATTTATCGTGATTTTATGTCATACATTACATGCTGTTTACATTCAAATTATAGTACCATTCATGTCAGAATCATCCAGACACATCATACACGTTATAAGCATAGCACATCACATCATACTAAACAACATACATTCACATTTCACAAGCATACTTAATTGAGTATAACAGTCTAGCATACAATTTAATGACACGTGTGAATCCACGAGCACTTGCCAACATACAACATACAACGCGTAACTCACGACGGGTGAACCACTTACTTGGTAGGCCTTAGCCGAAGTACTCCCTACAATATAAACATAAACTCCTAGCTCCTCGTATACGTCCTACGCTTCCATTGGTGGTTAGTTCCTATTGGATCATTCGACACCTTCGTTAGTATTTAACAAACACAATTAATTTCCAACTTGAATTTGTGAAATACGGCCTTGATATATTTTACCTTAAACAGGGTCGAAATCAAGTTTGGGAGGGTTGGAAAGATGCCAAACAGGTCAGAAATAGGGTTCATGAGCCAAATAAGCCACCGGAGCCAACTAAGCCATTGGAGCCGAGGGGAGTTTTGCACCAGAATTTGCCACGTGGCGATACCAGGAGCGGCCACGTGTGCTACCCGAAGTTGGGCCGAGGAGTGGGTCGTCGGGTCGATCGCAGGTTTTCAGGTTGCAGTCGCGGGTATGGACTGACCGCGAGTGGTGGACCGAGCCTGGACTGAAAGGAAACGATTGCAGGTATTGGATTGGGCATCGGGTATTGGATTGGGCTTTCGGGTCTCGGGTTAGTTGGGTTTTTGGTCCCAGGTCGCGGCTGATGGGTTAGGCCGTAATTGGACTTCCTGGATTGGGTTGAGGCGACTGGGCCGGAGGGGTGTCGTCGACCGAGGTTTGGACTGGAGTGGGTTGGACTCGGTTCAGGTCGCAGGGGTCCAACCCTCGGATCGGACTTCGTCTTCTTCACCCGATTATTCGAAATTTTCCGGTTATCTCTCTCTCTCCTCTGTAACGTCGTTCCGATGTCCTTTTTCCTCCGTTTCCGAGTCTCCTCCTCCCCTTAATCCTGTTTATGGTGTTTGTTTGGTTCGTAAAGGCCTAACACTCTCGGATTTGAGAGGGTTCGAAAATCTGACGTTTTGTCTCTCTTACCCGACCGTGTACGACGTGTAAGCAACATCAAAATCTATCCCTGATGTGTTACTAGGATTGTTTTTGTGGTGAAGATCAGAGGGTTCGAAGTCGATTTCGTATGGTTTGGCTTCATCAGAGCGTTGTCAGTTTCTTCCTCACTCTCACATTTTTCGTTTTCCTCCTTGCAGGCGGTTTGGCTAAGGGTCGAGGTCTGTTGTTGTGGTGACCCCCAAAGTTGGGCGAGGCTCGTGGGTCGTGTGGGAATGAAAATTCCGGCGTTTGTTGGAGTTTTTGGTCTCGCCGACAATCGCGGAAGTTTTTTTTCTGATCCGTTACAAGTCATGTTCTTTGTTGTTAAGGATATTTAGTAATAAATTATAGTTTACCATATATATTTGATATTTTATTATAAGGCAAATATCTAATATTTGCCTTATTATCATAGGTATCTTTCCATTTATTGTTATTTCCATTTATTAGGCAAATATCTAATATTTGCCTTATTATCATAGGTATCTTTCCATTTATTGTTATTTCCATTTATTAGGCAAATATCTAATATTTGCCTTATTATCATAGGTATCTTTCCATTTATTGTTATTTCCATTTATTACTATTTTATCTAATATTTGCCTTATTATCATAGGTATCTTTCCATTTATTGTTATTTCCATTTATTACTATTTCCATATCCATTTGCCTTATTATCATAGGTATCTTTCCATTTATTGTTATTTCCATTTATTACTATTTCCATATCCCTGTAATTTATTTGATTATAAATAAGATAACTTTCACACCATTTAGGTGTGGTGGATTAATCAAACATTCACATGGTATTAGAGCCCTCTTGGTTTAACAACCCCGATCCTTTCTTTTCAATGGCTTTTGAATCCTCTAATCTTCTTCTCCACCACCCCTGCTGGTTTTGACGCCGCAGGGGCAGTCTTTATGACTGCCGTAGTCGGAGCCGATTGATTACTCTTCGGCTCCACCCTATTGACCTCCAAATCACCTTTCGTCATACTCTGTACATACAACCTCACCTTTTCCAACCCAATCGGTTTTCCCCTTGGCCAATATAGTCTCTCTCATTTTCTTCCCAATCAACCTTCATCCTTCACATAAACCCTAACCTAAACCTATCAACCTTTTGCAGAGATTTACCTTCGGAATTTGGGTGCGGCATTGGCCTATTCGCCAACCAAGTTGCCGCCGCCCTTCCTGCCAAAATTGGCTTCTTCGCCCGATGAGGCGACTCTTCCGACTGCCCTTCTGGCCAAAATTGGCTCCTTCGCCCAATGTGGCGACTCTTCCGGCTTCAGCATTGTCTTTGTCCCTTGCTCTAGGTTTCCCCTTCTACTTCTTGGGGTTAGAAATATTCTCATCAGAGCCAAGGCAGCATCGTCGCTAAGCGACAATCCCTCTTCATGGGTTAGACATATTCTCGCCAAAATCAAGGCAGTATCGCCGCTGAGCGGCGATCGCTCTGTAATTTTTGATGGCCAAGAACCGGGTTGTTAGCATCTTCATGAAAAGTGTTTCTCAACCTCTTTGAATTTTTCAGATTCAAGCTTCACGTTCGTTTAAATCCGACGCTTAGCTTGCGGTGGGGTGTTAAGGATATTTAGTAATAAATTATAGTTTACCATATATATTTGATATTTTATTATAAGGCAAATATCTAATATTTATTACTATTTCTATATCCTTGTAATTTATTTGATTATAAATAAGATAACTTTCACACCATTTAGGTGTGGTGGATTAATCAAACATTCACATTTGTTCTTAGTTGTTCATTGAGATGATATTACTTTTTTTATTACTCAAAGGCCGTTGGAGTTAAATTTGTAAGTTTAAACAAGCTTCATCACAAATTAACAAGGGTTCAAGCCTATTTCAAAATAAACTTGTCTCTAAGCATTTTATGTTTAATAACCATATGAAAAAGTTTTGCATGGGAGAATCTAAGCAACAATTATCATTCACCCAATGACAAGTGAATATGTTAAATTTTATGACTGCTTCAACTCTAACGGTTCATTGCAAGTCAAAGGATGATGATCTCGGTGAACATGTACTCCGTACCAGAGATAATTATAATTAGAGTTTCAAAGATAACTTTTGGCGTTCTACGATGTTTTGGTGCCATTTTAGTAGCAAATATGGACAAGTTACTCGTGATGTTTTTTGGCCAAAGAAAGGGAACTTGTTTAGTGATCAATGCGTTCATCATAATTGCACTTGGGCAGATGGTGACCAAGGTATTCACTTGTATCTTGGATCTCTCAATGCCTTTAAAGTAGTGCATCAGTGGAAATGATGTATATTCTGAGTTTCATTCAATTTTGAAGAATAATTTTATGAATAAAAATGTTCTATTATTATGAGGTTAAAGGTCCAATTATAATAAAATTTGGACCTCAAAATTTTAAAATTCGAATAATGTCTTCTAACTAATTAATTGGGATAGGATAACTCTTAGGTGGAGACACGATCATGGATGCATCAATAGGATTTTTTTTTGAAATGCTATATATATATATGGCGTTGGTAAAAGTCACACATGTCAATGACTCAAACATGACGCCAACAGACCTGAACAAATCCACATCAAAATTACGATAGTTATTTTTGGTTGGGGGACCTCATCATTAGTAAGTACAGTACGGGGTTATTCTTCATTTCAAAGTTTATGAAGTTCTTTGAAAAATTTTCATTCAAACTTTCCACTCATAGAGAGATACAACAAAATTTCATCTAAATGACATAATATCTTAGATTCAAACTGATAGCGTATAAGTGAGACGTTAAGGAAGTTATGGTTACATTACATTTGGTTAGTGTGTTCATATTATTCTATTCATAGTAAATAAATACTCGTTTACAATATTGAAAATCTGATCCATAA